ATGCTAAAATTGGAGCTAGTTGGTGAGAGACAAATTCAATTAGATTACTAAAGCCAGAGACTAAACAGGCATTATACAACTGGTCAAGCTTCTGGAAAGAAATAAACAGAACAAGCAAAGTATATTGTACATCAAAAAGACTTAGTACAAGAAGAGCTATAGCAATCAAGTATATAATAGACAATCTACTAACATTAGAAGAACTAAATAGAAGAAGACCAGAAGTATATATAACAACAGACTGTTAAGTTTGTTAAGATGGTAAGATAGAAACCCAAGTACATATGGCAAGCTGCAACAAACAAAGAAGTTTATGAAAACAGATTCAAAAAATTTTAGCAGCAACAGCATGAAATAGTCTCAAAAAAAAGAAAAAAATAGAATTCTACCATAAGTGCTATATAAGATGCTCTTTGGAAAAACAGAAAAAAAAGAAATTAAGAATAAAAAAGCACTTATAAAAGGACTCACAATACTAAAAATTAAAAAAGAACTTAAATAGCTATTAAACAAAAATGCAACACAGAAATATATAAACATAGTAACTAGAACAGCATAGAACACCTTTATGACTAAGTGTGAAAAGTTCAATGTAAAAGAGTACAAGAATAGGAAAAGAGCTCTAATATAACAAATAAAATAAAAAAATGTGATAGAGGAAAAGGAAAACTAAAAAGAAAGAAGATAGAAAGTAAAATATCGAAAAAAAATGTAAAAAATGAAGTATTGAAGACAATTAATATGCTTGTTACAAAAGGGAGAAGACCCTTTTGGTATGGCTTTAAGTAGTTAAATGAGCAGTCTATCTCTAATTGAGATAGTGTAACAGATTGCACTTAGGTACTGTTAGGGTGACCAAGTGATACTAAACTTATGTATTAAGAAATTCTATATTATTATATATGTATATAGTTTCAAAAATCTTAATAAGTATTAGCATAACTGCTTAAAGTTAAAAAAAAAAAAAAAACTATGCTTTTTGTTTTTATAAAGAAAAAAAGAAATCAGTATTAAGATAACTAAATTTTTGGTTAATAGTATATAAAATATTGTAATTTGTAAAAAAAATTTAGATTTTGTAAATAAAAAATTTATAAAGTTAATGTTTGTTGTTAAAAACTTTAGTAATATTATCATTATTCTAAACTTAAAGCTTAAAGTTAAATACTCATTTTAAGACAAAAGCCTTAATTACTGTATTATATTAATTAGTAGTTGTATTGTTTTTTAATTTTGATATATTTAAAGTTAAAAGTTTGCTATAGAATTTAGTAATAACAAATTAATATTTGTTAGAGATGTTTGAGATAATATCTATATTGTTAGTAGTAATAGTAGTATTAGAATTAACTAAGTTAGAAAGATTTCAAAAAATATAACTAATTCTAAGTTTTAAAAATTGTTTTTTAAAATAAATATATTAGAAAATGATATTAAATATAATAGATTAAATAATATAATAAGGGATGTGGCAACTTAGTGAAGTGGATAAGTTGTCAACCCTTCAAGTAATAGGTTGTAAGTTCAAAACCCACTAATGGTGAAAATTTAAATAATCATCTGTAAAATACATAGATAGTATTATGGCGATGACATTCTGTCGATCAGTTAAGATAGGATACCTGTAACTATAGTCGCATTAGCATGACTAGCAGGTCACAGGGTATCTGTATAATCTTGGTTATACAAAGGAATGCAAACTGGTACTGGGTAGTACAAACCTAAAATAAGTCCTTGTGGCTATGTAAATCCATAAAACTGAGAAATCAGAGCCCATTTGGAAAGACCTGAGTAGAGAGATAACACAAATCTTTGACAGTATCACTGTAAAGACTAGATCTTGGAAACAGATACTAATATGAAGAAGCCAAATGGGCAAGAACCTCAGATGAGGAGTACTACCAACCAGATCATTGGAACTGACCTAGAGGAAAAGAATATCAAGCTGGCTTAATATATCAAGAACAGGTCACAATTCTACCAGACTATCTGAATTGGAAGTCTGGGATCAAAGCAGAAGTATACTATAAGTACTAGGGATATGCTGTAAAGTAGGTGCTGAGGTTTGGGTAAACTCTACAAGGGCTAGCCTTGTTAATGTTCTGTAGAGTAGATAGGTAGTTAACAAAAAGATACCTTAGAACCTTACAGTCAGATGATGTATTCTAAAATGTTTAACAGCTTGGCAGATATACAAAAGGGGAAATCTAAATGTTAGGTTAGATGATACTTAGTTGTACAAGAACTAGATGTTACTTGTTTAGGTGTAGTATAAGGATCAGAGTATTTAAATAGGTACCCTCCTAGTAGGTTACAGACATGACAGCTAGTGCAGAATCTTTGAGTGAACTACTTAAATAGGTAACCAAAAGTTATACATGTGACTAGTTGCACACTTATCTTGTACAAGTCATATATAATGCATTGATCAAAAATACAAATAAAGGCAGTAGCTACTGATAACATCAGCTTAAAAATAAAATAAAAAAAAAATAATAAATAATAATAATAATATAGTAAGAGAAAATTAGAACATAAAAACATCAACTGATTTTGATATATTTGTTTTGATAACTAACATGTATAATATTATTTAAAATTTTATAATAATTAAACTAAATTGCTTATTTTTTATTAAATTTTTTTAACAAAAATATAAAGTAAAAAATAATAATATATTAGAATAATTAGTTTTATTTATTTTTTAAAAAAAAAGTTTGCTTTTAGTTTTTTATTTGTTTTAGAATCTCTTTTTAATAAAGTTTGTAATATTAAAGATAAAACTAAATTATTTAAGTATATTAGAATTTTATAGAAATTCATTTTTAAAAATAATGAAACTAAATAGTTATTAGTTGTAGTTTTAAAGTTTTGTAAAGTAATATTTGTAACTTTATATCTTTTAATTATATTGAGATATTTATTTAGTATACTAAAAATATGTTCTATATGTCTTTAAATATTTTTTGTTTTATTTAGTTATGTTAGCTATTATTTGTTTATTTTTTTAATTTTTAATAATCTATAAAAAAAAGTTTTCTTTAACATCTAAGTATTTTAAAATTAATAAATTATAAAATTTTTATAAAAGTTGTATTAAGATAATTTTGTTCTTTAAAATAACTAATTATAATTAGTTTTTCAAATAAATTATATTGTTTATTAAGTTATAATTTTTAGCTTTAGCTTTTACTTTAGAATTATTTTTTTTTTAGATTGTAAAGTTTAAAAATTAGTTTAAAATATTTTTAATATAAAGTCTATTTTTATTTACTAGAATTGAATAAAATTAACAGTTATTGCTAAGTTAAAATATATATATAATAATTAATTAACTAATCTGTTTTATAAACAATCATAAAATTAATAAAATTAGTTTAATAGTTTGTAAAATATATTTTTTAATTTTTTTTTTACTATTATATAAATTTTTTTTACAATTTTGTAAAAAATTGTAAAATTTTATATAATTGCAAAAAAAAAGAAAAATTAAAATATTTCAAGTTTTACAACTTTTATTAAAAACTAAAATAAAAAGATTTTAAAAAAAATTATCAAATTTGGTTTAATTATTTATATTAAATTTGATCCAAATTTATAAATTAGCTTTTATCAAATTTGGTTTAAAAATTAAATATTTTTTTAAAAACAATTTTTTTTATTTTAATGTGTTCTAGCCAAAAAAAATTTTAGTTTAGTATCTTTTTCAAAACCCTACCCTTACTCTGTTAATATAAATATCGATATCGAAACCATATATGCAATGATCATTTCTATCTTGGGCGGAGTACACAGATGTATCCCTACACAACAGGAGGAACCGTACCTAAAATAGAAAAATGTTACACGATTGATTAACATCGTAATTTATACATTTTTCACGAAGCTTGTGTAACCAATTCTCTTTATGAAAGTGGGTAAGTCAACTAAAACCTGAAGCTTTCGCGCCGTATTTTAACAATATCGGTTGAATCCACTTGAATCCACCAACTTTTATATGGCGATTTACCTTGTAAAGATGTATATGTTAGTAAGTAAATTATGAAACACTGAACTACAAATTCTAGAAGTTGAACGGTAAAAACCGTTAGAAGCAACGATTTAATGGTTTGAGTATTAGTTTATATAATTTTTTTATATGTTTAAAAAAGTCCTTAAAGTTTATAATAATACGAACTAACTACATATGCATATATATATTTTGACAGGATAAAAAAGATATATACACGCATAAAACTTTAAAACTTTTAGAATAACCATCATATTATAAGATAGATTGTGATTTCTGGTTTTAGATTATACTGTATATATGAAAGGTTATCGAAAAACCTTGATGCTTGGTTCTAGATTACAATTTATATGAAAGATTATTTGTTCTTATAGGTAGATAATGATAATTGATGCGAATTCGTCAATTAGTTGGTAAATAGACAAGATTATGACATGCTTATATACTTCACGAAAAATAAAATATATTTATTCCAAGTTCCAAATTTATTTTTTTCTCTTTTAAAACTTACAATTGATTGGATGATCAACATGTGACAATACATGAACATTGTGTACCATTGAACGGTTCTTCCTGTTACACTCATATTGTCCGAATATTATATTGTCTTGATAAGCTTAAAAGTAGTCCGGTGCGACGTGATTTCTTGTATATTGTTATAACTTGTTTGATTTGCAGGGCTTGTGTAAGGTTCCATGAATAACCGTTTTTGAAATGTCGTATTCTGACTACTACAGTTGAGGCTTTAGTCCAGTTTTATCTTGGCTTCGTCTCGCGAGAGAACAAATTTTTACAATTGGTTTTACCATTTTTTCTTTTTTTTTTTTTAAAAAAAGAAAAAAAATACGTAACGTTTGTTGAAAACTCTAAAAAAAAAAAAAAATCTACTGTTAAGTCGATTATATACTTTGTTGATGCAAAATCCCTTGTGATCGTAAAAACTTCATCTTATCGATGTGATCGAGTGTGAAATTCTTATAAATAAATAATCATGACATCACCAACGCCGACAGTTCAAAAGAAGTCTAAAAAGTCAAAAACTACTGATCCTACTGTAAAACTTCCGAAAGCAAAATTTAATGTGCCTGACGAAGAGACAGGAGAGAAACAAGGAGAAATTGCAGCAAAACCAGCCAATGAAGAGGTAAGGCATGTGTTTTTTAGAAATGACCCTTTTTTTCAACATATACATCTTCCAAGATGCTATTTGTCATATTGGATACAGAAAGATTACAGGGTTTCTTCGATAAGAATTTTATAAATATCAAATTCTTTTGGATTTCTTCTTAGGCATCACAAAAGGATCCAGTCATCGATACAAAGCCGGACATCTTTCAGACGACTCCACAAGATGATGACATAATCATTGTAAATTATCCCAACATAAATGCAAAAAGGGAAAAAGACTCACATATCCATGATACACTAGATGCTTTAAATGGTACGAGACGGGAGGTGAGTTCACATAGCCACTCCCACGTCCTAGAGATGAGTGCTTTAATTATTGATGTCGTGTAATTTGCCGAATTATTAACACATAAGTGTATTGCGAGGCATATTTTATGACATCTACGATGAAAACGCGCATGTTTCTTATTAAATATTGACTGTCTTGTGGAAACTATCACATTCAAGCAAATTTACAAAATCTCTTCAACTTATTTATCGTTCCAAAGGGAAATGCACCCCTGGAAATGCCGCCAGCAGCAATTGAAGCACTAGAAAGAATGCTTGGAAAAGTTCCTGACCCGAACAAGCCTAGAGGTTCAAATGTTGGAAAATTGGATCAAGGTTTTACGTTCCCGCCAAGGACTAAATCTTCTCCGAACAATTCTTCGAATCATAGTAACAGTGCTACGGCTTCAACATCAAAAATCAGCGGAAACAATAAAGAGATAGACCAAGATGACCTCGATAAAAAAGAACGTGATCGCCGTCGAAAGAGTAATTTGAATCCCTTTGCACCACCATTCACTTTCTCTGCTGGCACGTCAGTAGATGCTAATAAGTCAATTGATGCGTCGGAACAAAAACATGACGATGATAAGAAAAAGAAGAGTACAAAGAAAGAAAAGGTATTTGGTATTATTATTTAATTAATTCATGAATTCTAAACCTGTTTATAATAATCGAACCTTTTGTAATTCTACTCTAATTTTTGCATAGTTGAACCATGAGATGAATGGCGACACAGATTCATCTTATCCAAAGAAAAAACGTCGCCCGAGCCAACAACTTATTACATCAGAGGCCGCTCGGCAAATCGAAGCTCCATATGGCTTCGCTCCAAATGGATATGAACCTAACGCATATTACGTGCACGGGCCACATACGCCTTATCTACCAAACCATGTTGAAGGAGCGACTATGCCTAACTGGGAAGAGTTTCAAACTAAGATGGCTGCAGAGGTTGTCAGTAGAATAGAATCAGAATTTCAAAAAGGTGTTGATACGCTTACATCCGAGATTAAAAATATTTTGGTAGAACATATATCTGAAGATTATGGGGTAAGCGGAAAGAAGAATGATGAAGGAACTACACTACGAAAATTGCAAGACCAGATTTTCCAAGAATTACGGAATAATCATCAGGAAATACGTACCACATATGATCAACTGATGCACAAATACGAGGAAATGCAAAACCGTCATCTTGATCAAGTTTCTTCTCTTCAGACGGCCCAAGATGGTGATATTCAAAATTCCATTACGCAGCGTCATGCAGAACTTCTAACCATGCATCATAACTTGAAAACTGAACTTAAAACTGGTCTTAAAGAAATTCATAACGAATACCTAAATATGCTGGATCGACAACAGCAACTAAATAATGACATCAAGAATTCACAAGTTCTTCAGAGCCGTCTTGCTGAATTAGAATCCGAACTCAATCAGTTACGCATTAAAAATACACACTTGACATCCGAGAATTCAAGACTTTTTGAAGAAAACCATAATGCCAAGATGAAAGAACGTCAATACGATGAAGGAAAACGTCAACAAGAGACCTTGATTTCCGAATTAGAGACAGAGATATCTAATCATAAAGACAAAGCTTCTCGTGCTGGTAAGGAGCTTGAACTTATACGAAGCACGGTGAGGTCGCTTGAGGCACAAAAGACTGGACTCGAAAGCCATAACGGAAGTTTGGAAAACAAAATACGTAACCTTGAAGTACAAATACGTAATCTACAAAATGATCATAATAGTATTTTTGAGGAAAATCAGGCGTTACAACAACAGCAAGACAAATGGCGTAAAACGGAAAAATCTTTGCAATCTGATATTAATGAACTTAGTCTTAAGCTTCTTAAAGCAGAATCAGAATACAACGAATCGAAACGTAAAATTATTGAGGATCAGAATTCTTTTAAAACTAAAGAAGATAATTTACGAGAACAATTGAAAGAAGCTAATCAACAAGTGATCGAGGCTCGTTCAGATCAACGTCGATTAAAAGAACTCGAAACCGAAATGAAAACTCTTAAAAGTAGTGAGTCGGCGCAGTTAAAGTCCAAAAATATGGAAATTGATGGTTTGAACAAACAACTAGCTCAACTTAGACAGAGAGTCAGTGACCTTGAGAAGAACCGTACCGAATTACAGCAATCCAGTAAAAAGGAAATTGCTGCACTACGTGCTTCCAACCAGGGCGCTGAGAGCCAATTGTTGGAACTTCGAGAAAAGCATAAAACTCTTGAAGAAGAAGTTTCTAATACGCGAAAATATAGTAAAGAACTTGAAAATAAAGTTTTAAAAATTAAGGAGTATGAAACACGGTTAGTTGAATACGAAGATCAATCGGCAGAACTAAAGAATTTCCGTGAAGAGTTCGAAAATCTCAAGCAAAAAATAAAAGGCATGAATGATATTGAAGCCCAGAATCTTGAAAAGATTGAAGAATTGTCTAGACTTCGCATAAGAGTTCAAGAATTGGAGAATGCAGAAAAGGACCTTGAATACATTCGTGGAGAAAATATAGATTTAACTAAGCGTCTAGAAGCATTAGAAGCAGAAAAGAAAAAGCAGTTAGAAAATAATCATCCACAAAAGAACGCGAGTACTACGTCAAATATATATTCATATGGAGGACGCGAACCTAAAATGAACGGTTTTGTTACGGAATTCGAAGATCGAGTGATCTCAAGGGATCATCAACCCCTATATAACAATCAACTTAACGGGAATTCAGAGCAAATTCATTACAATTCCGGTATGAAACCGCCTACTGAATATAATTCTCAACAGACATTCAGTCAGTCACCTGCTATTGGTGGTATTAATTTAACACAAACACAATCCATGCCACACATGATGAATGGAACTGCGCAACAACCATCTCAGCATCAAACATATATTCCTCCAACGCCAAATTTAGCACCACCACTACCTCCACAACAGATACAACCCACATATCATTTATCACATAATGGATCATCACCTTCACAACCTCCACTCCAAGCATTTGTTCCTTTATCTCAATTGCACTCATCTCAATCATCTGTACCTATTCATTCAAATACACCTGCTTTATCACAAAAAGTGCAACAAAAACAGGACCATTTGCAACAACAGCAATCTCCACTTCCACAATTGGTGCCGTCGCAACAAGCACAATCTAACCAGGGGCAATCTACTGTGAAACAAGAAACAAAGTCTCATAGTCGTCAAAGTTCCCGCTCCAACAATATTGGAGGTAGTGGAAAGAAGCAGCGCTCTCAGAATGCAAAGAGAAAAGATCGAAACAGAAGAAATTCTACGACTGACAGAACAAATAATGACTGGGGCAAAGGTGAATTGACTACTACCGAGTGGTGGACTGAGAATAAGGATCAAAAAATTGAGACTTAGATATGTGTTATGCCTTGAAAAGGTCTAGATTCTACCGAATCTTAAAAAAATTTATGGATTAATTTTAGTTTTGGAATAATATTTATCACACATATTTTTAATATGAAATGTAGTCATTAATTATTTGTGGCAAAATAACGATGGTACTTTTGAATTTTATATTTTCCGTTTTGTATTCTATTGTTTTTGTTTAATTTAGATATAAATTCCAGGGAATGTAAATAAGAGGAATTGTTAAATTTTAACAGTCAAATTGTTAAATTATTTTGAATAGTTTTAAAAATGAACTTCAAGTAATCATGTTCTAAATTGTAAGATTACTAGAAATGTCAATTAAAGTTATTTACAATACAGTTTATAAAAGTGATTTATAAAATATATATCTTCAAGAATGTTCGTCATATTTAAAAAAATTGTGATTATTATTGGGAAAAGCTACAGACACAGCTAATGACCAACACTAACCTTAACGACACAACATGGCCAGCATTATATCGTTAAGGTTAGTATTAGAATATGGCAGAATTAAAAAATTAAAGTTTATGTAAGGTAACTTTAGTAAATATTATTTCATTTATAAGTCGTCTTATCACCAGTGCACAAAATCTACTGTAAAATACCGGAGATTCCGATTAATTAAAAAAAATTCCGGCATGATTTTTTGATCGTCGGAAATTTTCCGTTACTTATGCAATTTTTGAATTTGTAAATTTAATATAATAGACTATTAACTATTAATAAAATATTACGCAAATAATGTGTAATTTGTATATTAATATTTAAATATTTATATATTTATGAATTTAAATAAAATTTTTTTTTCAAATTAATGGATCAAAGCGAAAGTATCCAAAATGATCAAAGTATTTATAACAACTGTGAAAGTGAAATTTTTTACGAAATGGATCAAAATGAATGTATCCAAAATGATCAAAGTACTTGTAATAACTGTGAAAGCGATCATGAAAATGATGCAAATGATCAAAGTGATCAAGAACTAGCATTATCTAATAATAAAAAAAAGTTCAAGATTATCACGAAGTCTAAGTCTAGTTTTAAAAGTTCTTGGCTTAATGAGTTTAAATGGCTTCAATATGATAAGGTTTCTTAGCGAATGTTTTGTAAATATTGTAAACGGCACAAAAAACAAAATGTTTTTGAAATACAGGTAAACAAATATAAAAATACTTATTATTAAACTTATACTGTATAATATTTAATAGGTCAAATTTTTTTGTAGGATCTATAAATTTTGGTTGTAAAAGTTCTGTTAAAGAACATGCTTTTTCAGATCAACATATTGATGCGATAAAACTTGATAATGCTGAGAAAACAATAGATAAAGAATCAGGACAACTTATACAATAACGTACAAATCATATAATTGGAGTTATGAAAATTGTATATACTCTTATAAAACAAGACATACCACTAGCTAAGCTTCCATATTTTGTTCAAATGTCTCGTGAATTGGAATCACCATTTATTATAGATAGTTCAATTACTTATGAAAATGAAGTATCTGGTCATGAATTTGCATTTGCTATATCGAATATAATTAAGACTAAAATATGGGAAGAAATTCGTAAATCTGTATCTTTTGGAATTATGATCGATGAGAGTACAGATATTTCTACAAACAAACATATTGATATTTATATAATGTATCCAAATATTTCTGGAAATATAAAGACACATTTTTTGCAATTACTTGCACTTGAGCAAAGTGATGCAAAAACAATAACTACGAAATTAATTAGGCTGTTTCAAGATTATGGTAAATATGTATTATATATATATGTATACATAATATAATTTTATATTTTTTTACTAAATATATATATAATACATATTAAATTATATATATATAGATGTTATAGATAAATTAGTTCAGATGGAGCATTCGTAATGATTGGAACTAAAAATAGTGTTGCACAAAAATTATCACAAGTATGCCCTTATATTGTTTACAACCATTGTATTGCACATCGTTTAGCATTGGCTTGCAAGGATTCACAAAAGCAACTTGATTATTTTAATATTGCTAAGACTATTATTAGAGATATATACAAATTTTATAAAAATTCTGCAAAACAAATTAATATACTTCAAGAATATCAATGAATTCTTGATTTTCCTGAGTTACGATTAAAAAAATTAAAAGAAATTCGATGGCTTGGTTGGTATAAAGCTGTTGAAAACTTTGTTAAAACATTGCTAGCTGTTCTTTTGCAACTTCAAAATGACAATAATAAAGTTGCTAGTGACTTATATCAACGATTATGTAACTGGAGGTTACTAGGATTTTTTTATTTTATTTATGATGTTTTGGGGCAATTATCAGCACTAAATAAATTTTTTCAAAAGCATAATCTTTATTTTCATGATATTATTCCTATGATTGATGTCACGATTGTAAGTATTCAAAAGAATTATATTACAGAAGCATATTTGAGTTATCACTTTCAACTTTTTATTGATTATACAAATCCATTTAATAATAATGATAATATAACATATTATACGCATACACTTGCATATAATAGTTATGATTATGATGATCTATTACAGGATGTTTATGAATATGCAAGTATAGTAACTACTGAAATTAGAAATCATTTTCCGGATTGTCCTTTGCTTGCAACAATGAAAATTTTAAATCCTGTAGAATGGTCTTGCAAAAAAGAAGAATTATTAGAATTTGGCAATGATGAATTGCAAGTTTTATTAAACCATTATGGATCATTAAAAACTATTAATGGACAAAATTTTTTATCATTAGTAGACTCAGATTCTTGTATTGTAGAGTGGTCAGATTTTAAAAACATTGTTTTTTCAAATTTTTTATCATTTTCTTCACGAGAATTATTGCCTATTTTAATTTATGATTACTCTGATATTTTTTCTAATATTACTAAACTAGTTCATATTACTAATAGCATTCCTTTTTCAAGTGTAGATTGTGAACGTAGATTTTCTAAGCAAAATACAATTAAAACCTATTTACACAATTCTTTGAATACATTACCTTAGATGCATTTATGCGGATTTCATTAGAGGGAGGAGAAAATAAAAAAATGAATTAGAATAAAATATATTATGAATGGCATAATGTAAAAAATAGATACAATATACAGTAAATTGATAATGATATTGTACTATAAATTTTTAAATGTATTTTTTTAAAATTATTAAAATTTTAAGATGTTCATAATTTTATTTTGTTATATCTCCGGCACGAGATTCAAAATTCTGTTTAATAAAAAGATCGTCAGAAAAAAATCAGGATACATCATGCTACAATTTTGCGCACTGCTTATCACATTATATTTTATACGTAAAATAAATTATTAAATTTAATGAATGTTATTGTCTGAAGTGTAACGAGGACGTTTATACTTCTACAACGTATACAGGCTAAATCTGATGGAATTTTGGTATGAGTTCATTTCATGCAATGTCTGTTAAAGATAACCAATTAAATTTTTAGATTAGGTAACACAGCAGATTCTTGCTTCAGACTTATAACGGTTCTCATTTTCTTAGTTCTAAACTATTATATATTTATAAATATTTTTATTTATTTTATTGATCAGAAGAAATGTTTCCTAATTTTTTGTGTAATATATTTTATTATAAGATTTGATGTACAATTTTTACTTTTTTTTTTTTGTATTAAGGTAACCTTTTAGGTCTTTTGACTTTTATTAATTACTTATTAGTGTTGTGATTCAATGAACTACTACAAGAGAGCATACAATTGGTTACATGATAATTTTTCTTTATTACCTATTTAAGAAGTTCATCTGAAGGTTCCCTACCAATTGTCATACCTAACACCTTTGCTTGCATGTTTCATTTTAAACCTTCTGAACCTGTAACTTGTATTAACTTACTGGGTCATATCCAGATGTTCAGATTATCATCTCAATTTTAGAATTAATTTATCTTTAAGATAAACCTTTTAGAGTCTTCTGTATTTATTTTTACAGTTGATTTAAATATCATTTTAGCATAACTAATACTTATAATATGAGTTTAATCATTAAACTACTATATTTTTGTAAAGTTCACTTAAATTTTAACATCTACTTTACAGCATAATCTCAGTATTTTAGTATACTTTTGAATTTCATTAAACTTCTAATCCAGATGGCTTATATAAGATTATGACTAGTTCATTAATATATTAGGTTAACCTAATATCTTTTTTCTTCAATTTATTTTGATGGCCTGGTTGTTGATACCTCTGAGATTCTCAACCTAGAGGTTCTTGCTTATCTGGTTATTAAGATCTGAGTATCTGTTTTCTTGGACTAGCCTTTACAATAACATTATCGAAGATTCAGATATTTTTTTATTCAAGTCTTTTTAAATAGACTTTTTGTTATCTAATTTTAATAAATTTATATATTCACAAGGACTTATCTAGTATTTGTACTATCTGATTTGTTAGTTTGCATTTCTTTATATAACTACAACATTACACAGATGTTTCATAACCTGCCAATTATACTAATGTAATTACTATTACAGGTATTCTAATCTAATTATTAGTAACAGTTGTTATAATATAAATATTATATAGGTAATTATTCAAATTTTCATTATTAATGAAATTTGAACACCCAACTTATTATTTAGAGATTAACAATCTGATCACTTCATTAGATTATTACATTTCTTGTATAATTTTTTTTTTTTTTGTTAAACTAGCTTCTTTTGGAGCTGAAACTTTTTATTTAGTATAGTCAGGATATAGGGACTCATGACCAAGGCCTCAAAGGAGTCATCTTACATTAGAGAGTACAACTAGTCACACATACACTTTTAGTGTCTAATTAAGTAGTCTGCCAATGGTTCTATACTAGCTGCCATACCTGCAACCCAACTAGGAGTGTTGCCTATTTAAACCCTCTGTACTGCAACCCTTACTGTATCACTAGATCATCTCCGCTACGTAAGTCAGTCGAGAAGGTCTAGATACTTACCCATATCCTTAGGACCCCATACCTTATTTCATGTAGTGTATCCTCAGAAGCATCATTACTAGAGCCTTTCATGTCCTACATATAGCTAACCTAGTTTTATATAACACACTATAGTTACCTAACACTTGCAGTTAGGGCTAACCTTAAACCACTATGTTACACTATTTCTACCTTTGTAAAGTTCATCCAAATCCCGGTACCTATCTTTCTGACATCTTCTTCATCATCCCCTACTAGCCACAACTCAGAACTGTCAGTTTCAGTCCAGACTACCAATTCAGATGGCCCGGTATGGTATATCTTAGTATCCTTTTCCTCTGATGAATCTGGCGGCCTGGTTGGTCATATGCTCCTCTACACATCTTGACATCCAGTTTTAATCTTCAGTTCTTATGAAGGTGTTTCGTGGGCTTTCATCGGTCTGACAGCATCATCAAAAGTTTGTGCTACCTCTTTACTCGGGAATTTCCAAGTGGGATTCTGTCTTCTCGGTTTTTTAGTCTTCTACACCTGGTGGTCTTATCGTGAGTTTGCACCGAAGTCTTATGCAATACCAGTTATTAACATTTCTCTATATACATGTACTATATAACATTACACTTCACATAGATGCCCCCAAGCTCCCAATGTCAGTAGGACCCTGACTTGATGTACCTGGGTTATAGCCACATGAGGCCAACCGATCGACAGAAGACAGTTTTTGTATCACAGATATAATTTCCAAATTTCATTGTAGGTGGAATTTGAACCTTAGACCTGCTATTTGAAGGATGACAACCCAACTGTATAATTTTTTATTTTTTATAAAAAAATATAATAAAATAGAATTTTTATTTTTATATAGCTTTACAATGATATAGTTTTATATTTTTGTATTATAATATTTATAGTTCATATGATTCTTATTTTTTAAATAAAAAAACTATTAACTTTAACAAACCAAAAACTAAAAAAGATCTTTCATTTAAAAAAAACCTATTGAAATTTCTGTATATTATTACAATCATTACTATTATTACAACTATTTATAATAAATAGAAAAAAAAATCAAATCTTCATAATACAAATAAATAAAAAATAATAATAAATTCAATCATTAAAATTATTTTATATATAATATAATTACTTTTAATTAAGCAGTCAAATGAGGATTTCTTATTTTTTAGTAAGTTTGTAATTAATAAAAATACATTTGATTTATAAAACCTTGATGATGATTATAATATACTTGATAATAAAAATACAAGTTCTAATATTATTATAAGAAGTTTTATAATAGGGTGTAGTGACTTAGTGAAATAGATAAGTTGTCATACCTCCAAATGGTAGATTGTAAGTTCAAAACCTACTAACAGCAAAATTTGGATAATCACCTATGTAATATATAGATGGTATTATAAAGACAGCATTCTGTTGATCAGTTGGGATAGGATACCAGTAACTATAGTTACACTAGCATGACTGGCAGGTCTGAGCCATCTGTGTAACCTGTTACACAGAGGAATGCAAGTAGTATAAATCTAAAATAAGTTCTTGGGCTATGTATATCTGTAGAACTAGAAAGTCAGAGTTTCTTGAAAATTCTAAGCAGAGAGATAACATGAATCTTTAATGGTACTACTATAAAGACTAGATCTAGAAAATGAATATCAATATAAAGGATTTAGGTAGGCAAGAATCTCAGGTAAGGAGTATTACTAACCAGACTGCCAGATTTCAGACTAAAGGAAAAGGATATTGAGCTGACCTTAATATATCAAGAATATGTTATAGTCTTTTCAGGCTATCTGAATTGAGAGTCTGGGTTCAAAGCAGAAGTATACTAAAAGTACTAGAGATATGCTATGAAGTCAATGCTAGGATCTAGATAAGCTCTGTAAGAGTAGCCTGTATTAGTGTTCTAAAAGTAGGTAGATAGTTAACAATAGGTGACCCTCTATGTCTTACTAGTAAGTGACATACTCTGAAATATGTAATGACCTGAAAACTAGTACAAAAAAGGTAGATAATCATATTGCTTAGACAGTATATTGGTTAGGTATATATAGAAGGTAAGTTAGAAATTCCAATATGACAGGGTGGATAATCAGAATTTTAAATAGATAATCTTCTAGTAGGTTATAGGTATGGTATCTAGTGTAGAACCTTAGAGCAGACTATTTAAATAAGCAACCAAAAGTTGTACACATGACTAGCTATACTCTTATCTCTGTAAAAATAATTGTAATAGCTAATCCAATGTAAGTTAATAAAGTATCATTACAAGTATAATCTTTAAAAAAATAAAAAAAAAAGAAGTTTTATAATTAAGAATGTTGATGAAAATAATAAAATAAAATTATTTATATTAAATAAAATAGTCTTTAAAAAGGCAAAAATATTAATATTAGAAAATAAAAATAAATATAATTATAATGATAAAATTGTATAGAATGATTTTAATTATAAATCTTTAAAAACTATATCATTAACTATAAAGTCAAGAAAAAAATCAAAGATTAATATTATGTGTTCTTTTTTATAAAATTAATAATTAGATTAAATAGTGTTCTAATTATAATTAAAAATCTTAATAATTTTTAGTATAGTTGGTTGATATTTGAAAAATTAATAGTGAATCATTTGAATCTATACTAAATAATCAATTATATAAATTAGAAGTTTGTATATTATGTTTTAAATTTAATCAAATAAACTTTATTGATCAAGTATCAAAAATATACAAAACATTAAAAAAAGTTAAATATATCATTATAAATATTTGTTTTGTAATAAAGACAAATATTTTTTTAATTATAGATCTAGTTGTATTCAATATTTAATATATATAGTATAGTATAATATATAAGTATCATATGTAGATCTTAAAATATGTTTAGTATTTACTATTAAGGATAGAATACAATATTGATTATTTCTATATATAATTAGTTGCAAATTTTTATTACTTTTTTTTATATTTAAATTTTTTGAAAAAATATATTAAGTAAATAAATTTTAACCCTTATATAAAAGTTGTAGAGTAGATCTTTCTGATTCTAA